GTGTAACCAAACCTGGATCTGCCACTAAGAAAATAACATCTGAGTAAAGTTTTGGTATACGTTACTAGGCAGTATTGGGTGTGTAGAGAACACTTTGGAAGTTCATAGTTCAAAATAAAACAAAACTTTAAAAAATGGCAGGTGTCAAACAAAACGCCCTGTGGCACTCGCTGACATAACGTGTACCAAAAGCTTAGTAGGACTCAGAATTTGATTTTAAAAAACATTACTCCCAAGTGCATGGTACAAGCATTAAAAAGGCTGCACTCTGATGAAGTCATAATCCATCTGATAAACTGATGGGTTTTGCAGAAGCTTCCTGATCGTCTTAGTAGCATAATTGGCCTGGGTGTTGTCCTAACCCTGCCCTCTGCCTTTCCAGTCTGCAAAATCCTCTCAACACAGTTCAGAGCTGTCACCCAGGGCCAGCTGACATACTGCGGGAGTTGGAGCCTGGGTTCAGCACTTGCTTAAGCTGGTTACTTGCTCACTCTGACTCCACAGGATGTGTGGTTCAAGACCACTCTAGTGCTTTTCCACACTTCCCCTGTGTGTTCAGAAAGGCACATTTCTGCACAACTTCCTGAGAAGGGAATGGAGCATCTTGGTCTCCTGCTGTACATGCAAACCATGTGTAGCATTCCCATGTTCCTAGGACTTGACATATCACAAGTGAAGACCTAGTAATTTGGAGACATGACTGCTTGCACCCAAGCAGTTTGCCAGGAAGGCAGCCTTTCTGTGAAGCATTTGGTACTGGACTATAGTTTTTCTGCTAAATAAATAAATAAAGTGGTGGGAAGCTATAAGTGGCATGGTCTTGGCCAAGGTCTGTGTGGCTGTCTTCAGCAGGTTACAAGTGCTTTCTCATGGAAGCACAGTATCATATCCCCCTCTTTAAGATGGGGAAAGTGTTGGCCAAGTTCAGTTCCTGCCTGAACCAGGAGTGGAAGCCACCTCCAAATCCCAGTCAACCCTCTAGGCACTAGGCCACATGGCATTCAGGTCTCCCCTTTCAGACTGATCCTAGGAAGGGGCCTTCTATAAGGTCCACTTCTGGCTTATCAGTGGATGATGTGGGCAGAGCTTTCAGAATTTGTAACTTGTTTTGCTGATTATTAAGCAACTAACAGAACTTTTCGAAGCTGCACTGTAGCTTAAAATTGTGAATCACTTCCAACTGAATGAGCTTATATATTCAGTGAGGATAATCTAGGGTTGCTTAGGCCCAAGTCTGCTTATGTTGGTTAAGAGAAGGCCCTGAACTTGGTCTAATCACTTGGTTACAACAAATACTTGTGTAGTGTGTGACTATAGTAACATGCTGTGAGTATGAGGGTGTGAAATAAGAGGAACTTTCTGATGTCCTTTGCTGTAATCTATGGCCAGGCTCACTTTGGAGCTTTCAGTAACCAGTTTAAGTAAGAACACTTCCCTTCATAATGACTTTGAGTGCAGAGCTTAAATCAATGGGAAATATTGCGTTTTGAGGCTCAGGAATTCGGCCAATGTTCATCTCTAGATGGGTACTTCTCAGGTGTTTATAGGGTAGATTACCATAATAAACTTGGTAACACTCTTCAAATAGTAACCAAATCATCCACATTTCTGAACTGACCCATATGTCTCTGTCTATGAGAGAAGAGTTTATGAGTATACATTGGGAGAACCATTACAGGATCTTCTTGCAGTAAAACTGGGTAGTTGAGCTTTCAAAGTACCTGGTATTTTAAATTAACCCCTGATTTCTAGACTTTCAGCCTTAATACTAACTTTTTTTTTTAGTCCTTTTTTTAATTGGTATAAAAATAGCAATTATGGGAAGCAGTCCGCTTTGACTCTTCCAAGGAAGCAAAAATTGGGGGGGGGGGGGGGGGACGTTTTTGTTTCTTCCACTTGCTCATGTGAATTCTAGTAACTATGGCAGCTGGCTGACATGTAAACGGTCACTTAGCAAAAAGTGCATTAACTATTTGTACAAATTTTAAAGTGTAAAGAACAAAGTTCCGGAAGAAATTAAGAGTATAACTTGTTTACACAGACATCTGTTGAACAGAATTCAAACATGACCATCTGGAGCTATATTGCTGCCACTCTTGGTTATCATGAATAAAGATCTGGTGGAGCAGCTGCCAGCTATGTTCTGTCATAGGTCAGCTCTGAATTGAGTTACTTCCAGACCTTCCAAGTAGAATATGTAATTGGAATCATGCATAGTACTGGGAGAGGGGGCCAGCTTAAGATGCCTGCCTTAAGTGGAAATTTCCATGTACTGTGCTTCAAATGGTCTCCCAAGCTTGAATGAAGGGAAAACCATGCAGGTCTTCTCTTCAGTCACTTGTAGAAGGGCAAAATAGGCTAGCAACATAATAGTGGCTGTTTGGAAATAACATACTCAAGTCCCTACTGCAGACTGGATAGGAGATGGCATATTCCAGCTTTTAAGCACTTTTTAGTTTCAACCATGGAAATTGCTGGTTAATAATGAGCCATTGTAATAGGGATTATTGGAATACAGACCAAAGAACAGGTATATAAAGCAGCAGGGGTGACTGGTGCCTCCTGAGTCTGGGAGAGCACAACTTGTGGGCATGCCTGGAGGGGGGCCAAAAGCCCCATATCTACTCCTATACTTCTGTGCCATGGCTTAGTGTAGGGGGGGCACATGTCCGCCTGTGCCTCCCCTACCATGTGCCTGTGTAAAGCAGTGTGGTCTTGCTTCATATTCTTGGCTTTTAAATGTTGCTGAGTAATTTTAAAATCATCAGCTGACCAACTCCAATTCTTACTTTTTCTTGTTTTGTTTTGTTTTTTTTCCTAGGATGGCTTCTATCACTTCTTCAACAGACATGGCTCTCAACCAGCTGACCAGAGCAATACCATAAGCACCATAATGGCAGCAGCAGGGTTTGGACTAGCAGGATTAGCTTTTCTTTTGGCAGTGCGATAGACCGATTTGATGGATTTAAAAAAAAAAAAAAAAATTTTTTTTTTCTTCAATGGAAAAGGACTCTTAAACTGACAGTTTACCAGATTCCCCTCTATTTTGTATAAAACAGGCTGTTGAAGAAGTTTATATTTTTTAAAATGGCTTGTTGTCTTAAGAGATCTTGAATACAGACTGCCTCTCTCTGCCGAGCAGCACAGCACAAACACACACCACCCTGTACATGCCTACGGTGCTTAATGGCTCCAAACATCTTCTGGACCTGTGTGTTTGAAAGGTGTATTCTAAATATTACCCTAGTTTGTAATACTGAGCACTCAGAAGTTGCAGTATACACTAGAGTAAGTTATGGTGAACTTTCAACCAAACGCATTATTGAATGCATCTTTATTTAAATGGCAGAAACTGTTTTAGAACACAATTTCATCTAATACTGTTAAGCGAGTTAATGTCAACTGTAATGTAAAGGCTTTTACAATGTCAAATATGGTGCACTTCACTTATTACTGAGGCAATTCTTTGGTTTGGTTTAGAGTACCTGTGATGTGAAAAGCGTTATGGCTTTAATACTAAAGTGTAACATAAAGATAACACTACAGTACAAATAGGTGATGTGTATTGATAGGAACCATTGATTATGGCTGTAAAACCTGTTCTTACCGAAAGAAGAAAACTATTAACCTTAATTGGTATATTGAAATCCAGTGAAGGCTGGGATTTCCCTGGATTTCCTTGTCAAAACAAGAATTTCCATATATCTTAATATATTTTTTTTGAAATATTTATCATTGTATTATACTAGTAGCCATAACATCTCTATTTTTGTTTAAAGTTCATTTTAATATGGCTCTTGTTATCACTAGTATGTGTGTCAACCATTGTTTCCCTTGATCTAATAATTGTTCTATTCTCAACACACTGTATAATTAATTTCATTTTTTGTTCCAGTAATGTACAAAGCTGCCTTTGTTCTGGTAGTGTTTTAACTTGTACAATTTTACTATGGTGACTTTAAAAGGTGAATAAATGCAACTGAGTTTTTATTTTAAAGGGTTAACTCTTGATTTTAATCAGATGACTGTACATAATTGTTTGAAATATGAACACTTCAGTGTACTTGGATGCATAAACTGACATCCACAGACAGTATGTTTTGACATCAAACAAAACTTGTGCAGCTTTAGAGCAGTGTACATAACCTAACAGCTCTGGTGCCACTGTTTTGCACCTCAGAAGATAGAACTAGTTAAGGAAATTCCCTTTTAAAGATTAACTTAATTCTAATGGTTTTGAAAGTAATGTGGTAGGAGTCAAAAGAGCAGTGACTAGCTGCACTCCCAATGCCAGTCTGCTTTGCAGCTGCTTTTATCTTTGGTAGCACTCCTGGCATAAGAACAAAAAGAAATAGGTAGTAGTAACTTACTGTATGGACACTTGAGTGTGCAGTGCATGCTGACTGTTCTGTCTCTGTTCAACTGGCATTAAGCAGGAAAGAATAACCCCTAAAGCTTTCAGATGAGTTGAAGGCTTGAGATTAATATGCTTTAAAATAAAATAAACCTATTCCAGCAGGCAACAGTTGAAAGATGGTTTTGCAACTTCAAGAGCTGCTTAAATTGCATGCTTTGAAAAACATGGGTACAAGGGACATTCCAGTAATACAAAGGGGCAACTGTTTGGAAGCTGAGTTTCCCATGTGAGAGGGGTATTGCATGGCCCAAGAGAAAAAGCAAACTTCTGTAACTCCCTGTCATCTTCCCATTGGATGTTTTCCAACTGAGTTTCTCACTCTGCCTAGGGAGCTAGGATAGCATCCCCTGGGCAATATCTAGAAGGAGGGTGCCAAATGTCATCTTCTCCTCCCCCTACCTAGTCCCACTGCACGTGGACAGGAAGCATTAGTGCAGTGAAATGGAGCTATAAGCTGTTCACATTAGGCTTTAAGATACAGTCTTTAAGTACAAACTAAGAAATTGGTGATCACCAGCCATTCTTCTGCAGTGCTTAATGGGGAGAAGACTTGTGAAAGAGAAGAGCTGTTCATGCCTGTGATGTTGGTACCAAGGGCTGTACTACAGTTTTGTTGTGTCAGAATTCGATTGTGCTGAGTGAATAAAAATGCACAGAGAGCAACAAAAGGGAGCATTCATGCTGATAAGGTTCGGAGTGGCTGGAAGGAACCTATCTTCCCTCCCTCAGTGCCATTTGCTCAAAACAAACACAGTGAGTATTTGTTTTTCTTGTTTCCAGTCCTTCTTCCCACTCAGTGTTGATTCCTCCAGTGAAGGTTTTGAGGCCTTGTGGTGGCAGGCATTGAGTATGCTTATGACAAAGGTTGTTCCTTTCCCTCAAAGAGCTTATACAGTACTTGTTTTATCAGCAGCTAGCACTATAGATTAGCTAGGGGGAACTTTCTAGAGAGAAAAGAATAGTTGCAGTGCCCAAAATGCACTTGCTCATTATGGCTGCTGTAGTAACCAAAATAGATTACTTCTAAGTAAGATTAACACAAGGAAATAACCGTAGCTTCCTAAGTGATCACCTGAGAGTACTTCCCTATGCAGTCTGTAAATACCACTGGGGTCAGTGATAGGAGGAATTAAAAGTGCATTCTGAAGTAGCTTTGCCTGTGTCTATGAGCTTTATTTGCAAAACAAGATTAAGTAGTGTAAGCTGAAGCTGTCTTTCCATCTCAAGCTAAAGGAAAATAGAAGCACAAGACCTCACATGAGACTTGTTTCTAATGTAGCTTGATTGGGCAGGCCACACAAATGCAAAACCAGAGAAGATAATGTGCTGATTGCAGCAGTTTGGCAATGGAGAACAGTAATAAATGTTGTCTGTTACAAGCTGGAATTTGGAAATGTCCTTGAGTAAAGCCACAACAAACCTTCAGAGTAAACATGACTTCTGGAAAGGAAACATAGTTGGTTTGGTCTTGTGGAGCATCCTCTGCATTCAGCATCTTGGTAAAAAGGATGTCAATATATGCTGCTGGTCTAGAGCAGAGGTGGCAAACCTGCAACACCAGCAGTACTGGTGACCTGTGGAACACAGCAAATCAGGGAAGGGACAGGCAGCACCATAGTAGATGGAGCAGAAAGCAGAGTAGCTTAATGGTCAGGGAGCACAGTAGCAGACCAGGTGGTCTGGGGAACTAAATCACTTGGGCTAAGTACAGGTAGTCAAAAAAAACCTGAAGCTGAATTGATTCAGTCTATGCAGGTTAGTCTAAGCTGCAAAGATTGAACAAATAAGCAGATGAATAGACATTTACTTTTGATTCAGGAAATGCAGCCACATGTCTGCAGTGGCTCAAGCCAGAAGCCAGGGGCTGCTAGAGCACAGTTCTCTGGCATGTAGCCAGCATGGGCTGTGCATTCACTTCTTCTTCCTGCTGCCACTGAGGTCTCTGGGACTTGCAGTCCAGACTTACAGCAGCAGGACCCTGCAGGGTTGCTCATTACTTCCTCTTCCTGCTTCTAGGTGCCTCTGGGATTTGTAGTCCACAGTTGCAGCCAGCACTAGGTAAGCAGGGCAGCTCTGTACTCGGGGGCGGGGAGAGAAGTTTAACACCCCCTCCCTGGCCCTCAACCTCAGCTGGAGTTTGCCAGCGAGGGTCAGCAGTGAGGCCAGTGAGCCAGCCCTTACTGCTTCAGCTAGGGAGCAGAGGGGCAAGAACAGCCCTGCTCTCTGGAGCAGACAGCACAGCCCAGCCCAGGGCTGTAAAATGTTGGAGTGCTGGGAGACTGGGACAGAAGTTTCATTAACTGGTTTGACCTAAATCAGTTAAGTCTGACACTACATTCAACCAGGTTTATCTTAAACCAGTTTCAGCCATTTTTAAACTGGTTTGTGTATGCTGAACATCTACTCTGTTACAGGTTTAAGCCAGTTTCTGACCACTTAAGCCAGTTTATATGTAACTTCTGTCACTAGCCTTGGAGGGTACAGGGCTTATTTTAGGCATGCCTGCCTGCCAAAAAGATTGCCTCTCCCTCTCCCCCCTTCCCCCCCCCCCCCCCCCCCTCCCCGCTCTAGAGGGTAGTTTAAAAGCAAAAATCTGAATTGATGGCAAGAGAATTAGGTATAAGTGGTTCCTGAATTGCTGTAACACTACATAAAAGCAGGAGAGCTTAGCCGAGGTCAAAGGTGAAAAGATCTAATATGATCATCATTTGGAGGCTTATTTGCCCATTTCTAAGGCTTTGAGAGTACGTAGCTATTCCATTCTATTACATTGTTCATTCTTTGTAACATTGGACTATGATTTGCCTCAGCAGTTAATCTTAGCTGGTATAAATCAGTTACCCGCTTTGAATCAATGGAGTTAAGACCACTTTTACCTGGTGGGGACTTTGATTTTCAGGTCTGACCTAAGTATTGAAATTTTGTACCTTTTCAGCAAAGGATAAAACAGTGCATTTGAACTGATAGAATCAGCTGATGGTTCATGTTCAGTCCTGGTCACCAAAAATAAAAAATAAGCAAGGAAGTATTTTTTTGCTCACATTCTTTTGGGGTTAGATAATGAAAATAAACTGCTAAGTTTCACTTTTGTTTCTTGTTAGCTGCTGCTTTAGAAGAAAAGGGTGGCAGTGCAAGGTCAGCATACATTTGGGTAGAAATGTTTACATGTGAGCCCAAAACCTAATCACTGCAGTAAATTACTTTTCATGAAAAAAACTTACTTGTATGAGATCAGAGACATACTTTTATGGAAGTAAAACTTAGCTTTAAAAGAGCCTTTATTTTAGGCATAAACTGAGAGTGAATGTTTCTTTTAATGAAGCCAGTTTCATGTACTCAGGAATTGGCATTTTTTAAGGCAAATATTTATTTAAAAATTCCATTTTGGAATGAAACAATTAGACCACTCTCTTGTGAGACAGTTCCCAACCTGGGTCCAATCTAACTTGCTTTACTCAGATTAGTAGAATTTGACTCTCTGCATCTTTGTTTTTATTGACTGGTTTTCAAATTGTCCATGTCTGCATGTAATTTATGTTCCTATGTCTGTTGTGCTACATCATGTAACCCACGTTGTTAAATTGGTGAGCTTGTGGTTTCTGGAAGCTTCACCCATTTTAGGTCACTTTGATGTGTATAATATTTGCATTGGTTAGAAACTGAATGCATTAAAATGGGATTTTTTTTTTTCCAGGGAGGGGGTTATGCCAAATATCAGACATATCAAAATTCAGTTTCCTGTAGCAAGGAACTCCACAACACAGGAAATTGGAAAAGGATGTTTAAAAATAGCCGCTGTGTGTCTTCTAGACGGCTTTTGCTCTGTGCAGGATTTCATCCTTTTAATGATTCTGACCTATGTCAGGAATTTGCTTTGAATTTAATTGAACATGCTTTTTTGTTTGTTTCTGAACTGAGAGGAGTGGTACAGTGAGGAAGGGAAGGAGCTCCATATAGTGTTTACTACTGTCCTGGATACAATTTCCTTTTTTAAGTATGGCTTATATGTAGATTTGCCTGTGGAGCCTGAATGGGGTGGGGTAAAGATGGGTCATATCCTTGAGAGCTGTGCAAAATGGCTCTGTTCCATTTCAACTTGTGTTTCGACGGAACTTCGTTTCAAATTTTGTTTTGATTCGAAACTGCTATTCTGTTTCGTTTCGTTGAAACAATTTCGCTGTTTCGACGTTTTGCCCATAGGCTATAACGGGGAACCTCAGAACAGCCTATAATTTTGTCATTTCTTGCCTGATTTGGATGAAACTTGCAGGAATAGTAGCCCCTTCTGAGGGCATGAAGCCTGCCAAGTTTCAAGGAGATCGGTGCAGGGGTTTCAGGGAAACTGCACCTCAAATTCTTGAAAGCAAAACTCAAGTCACATGTACGTGTTAAGCCACAGCGGGGTCAAAACTGCAGGCTTGCTAGCCCCTGCTGAGGCAATGAAGCCTGCCAAGTTTCAAGGAGGTAGATCAGGGGTGGGCAATTATTTCAGGCGGAGGGCCGCTTACTGAGTTTTGGCAAGGCATTGAAGGCTGAGGTATCAGGCAGCCAGGGGCAGATAAATATTAATTTTCTACATT